AAGGAAGATGAAAGTAGTTAATTTATCATAGTAAAATGCATTCATTTGATAGTTATCAATTTTTAACATTTTTAAATTTCAGAAATATATAACAAAGAAACCAATATTTTAATTTTGAGTCTGAATCACATTGTACTCACAAAATCGTCAATTTTCAGTTCGAATAATCTGGGCGTGTGCTTTCGAGGACTTTTCACCAAAAATGAAGTGTTCATCGATACTCTTCTCTTGACAAATGTGTGCATTGTCGATGAATAGCGTGCTTCCAGCTTTACAATTACACTGTTGGCCGTTCAATATAGGACGAGAAAAAGCGGGACACTTTTCATCCATGGGTGCCGGTCGTTTTGAAAAAATGGATCGTTGAATGCCCGTAGATCCTTTTTACGCTCACGGTTCCTCCCTAGAGGATTGCTGGTTTCCTATGATTCGTCACTGGCGAAAACTTTTCTCAATGACTACACGAGGAACCTTGCTGAATATATGTAAGTATCCTGAACAACGTATCTATGAACGGGTACACCTGTAGCTACTGCTACTATTCTCGAAATAATTCCAACTATAATAATAAGCCTTGAGCCAAAACGAACATAAAGATGACGGTCCATTGACTCCGTTTTTTGTATGATTCAATAGAAACGAAACGAATTGTGCAGCCACGATGAATCGGCATAGTAGCTCTCTCTAGAGGTTAGTGGCTTCATGAATGAAGATGTCGTTGCTGCTTATGTAGAGAAATAACATCGAGTCGATCCTATGGTTGTCCATAAATTATGTCTTCTACTTCATTTTTCTATTTTTCAGAATATCTATTGATGATTCTTTCTGTTGGTTATTTACCTGTACGACTGGATAAAACCGATGAAATCTCTCACGAAATTGTAGAATAATTTTATATCATTTTATCAATTGAGTTTACAAAATAATTTTTTAAATTGTAAATTATAGATTGAAAATAGGTTAGATTATAGAGGAAACAGTGCATATATAATACTTCTTCATATCACAGAAATTTATTTCTTTGTTATTTTTCGTATCGTATGTAATATTATTGATGTGATATCGTTAATACTTTCGACAATTAAAATTTAGTAATAAATATATATAAAAAAATGATAAATAATTTCAATGTATCAATTTAAGTGTAAAAATGGTAAGTAAATACAGCGATAAATGGTATTTAAAATATTGGTATTTAAAATGATAAATAAATATTACAAATTTCAGAAAAATTTTATATATATATACTATATTTTTTAAAATTATATTTTTCTGGTATAAAATCGTAAATTTGATAAAATTATTATTAAAATTTTTGATTTTATATTAGAAGAATATAATTGGTCATAAATAAAAAAAAAAGTTCTCAAATATTTTTTATCACAGTAAAACATTGATATTATAATACTTATATTTTGATTCTTTTTAGCTAAAAAGTTGTTTAAAACATCGATATACGTAAATTAACGTAACAAAGAAAGTCATAATGTTTTAACTCTCCGCGAACAAAATAGTCTGTACCCCAATATCGATAACTACCCAATTGTGCAGACTCCAGAGGTTCGTTTCTGATATAATCAGGGAATACGCAGGGGTGCTACTAATTGTAATCGTATAATACAGTCGAGGGGTGACGAGCATCGCAAAGAATTGATTCTGGTTACGTTAATATAATCAGAAATTCAGGATCCGCTCGTCCCTTTCCTTATGAAATATGTACCATGGGAGATGTTTGTATTCGTATCTTATTTATTGACCATCCAACGATCATGAAAACTCATCGACACGAAATATTTCTCGCATCTCAGAATTTTTAGATAAATTATGAAGTTTTTATGAATTATAAGAAACATTTTCTAGCAACAGATTTTATAATGCATTTTATCTATTGGAATTAATAGAGGTAGGCATATATTAATTATATTTTAATTCTCATACAAATATTTCAATTCTTCTAATTGTTAATTCAATTCTTTTGCCAAATTATTCATAGAAATTCTTAACTTATAAATTCAACAGCTCTTATAACTTTCAGTACACATATAATATTACGCAGTATAATATTAATATGGTATACTTTCTATAATAGAATTGCAATGAAATAAGAGCAGTTCAGCGGCAGTGTATTGAACATCAAAGATAAGAATAGAAGAAAAAAAGGATTGGTAAGCATCGGTGGTCTATTGCAGAGAGAATCTGTGCGCTTTAAAAATGAACAAGATCGCACTCGCTTGAAAAGGCATCCATTGACTTTCCTTTCAATGGCCCGTACAAAACGAGCGCGCGGTATCGGTGCGGCGATGAAGTAGAGAGCGTGCGTAATCAATCAGTTTCATAGAAGCATGGAAGTCTAATGCGTTAATACCCAATAGAAAACTATGAATATATGCGTAGTTACCGACAAACGAAGATTCGGCTGAATGTAACGTGTAAGATGAATATTGGATAGGCTGAGTAGTTATATGTGTTATAAATATACCTACTCGGTATATAAAATACTTCCACTGGATAGATATAACATATTCATAGTTGACTGGATGAGAAGCGCGTACGTGCATCTATACAAATGGTTTTAGAATTATAATATTTAACACAATTTTTATAAAGATAAAGATTTTGGATAATGATGTATCGAGAATATTCGAGTGTTTTGTGGAATGGCTATGAATAATAATCAGAAAGATTACGTATGTATTGATTATGATTTCATTTTATTCAACATATTATTTTATAATGATATAATCATAGATTATTTATTGATAAACTAAAACTTATAAGTACTCTTAAGGCTTAATTAATAAAATTTTTAATTTTATTTTAAGATAAAAAGTACTCTCCGTTCGGAGAATTATTACCTAATAGGCCTGTATTTTTGAAACACTCTATACATATATACTACATAGTATATTACGCCACTGACGAACGCATTGTGCTAGCGTAGCGAGTAAACGAGTCACGCTGCGTCACGTTCTGGCCCACCACCGCAGCAGCAGCAACAGCAGCAGCCCTTCTCCTTTTGTACGAACACCCCGCCGCTTTTCAGCCCGGCCTGAATTACGTTACGCCGCTTTACTATCGGCCAGTTTATATTCGAGGTTTATGCGGACCTCGGCTAGATACACGTGAATAGCGTTTTAATCGAATCGCGCCGCAGCCGCGTAATGATATTTGCTCCCTTCCTTTACCGAACTCTCGACTCTATATCATGGAGGAAGAATCTCTTATTTTTTTCTTTTTTCGATTTATCTTTGTTTTTCAACATTTGTTTGTTTTCTGTTGATTTGTTTGATAGAAATAGAAGTCTTTAACAAGTCTGTACATTGAATTTTGAGCTCTCCAATTGGATCGGATATGATTGCAAATTTGATTTTGAAGTACTAAAAGTGCTTAATTTTCTTTATTTATTGATACTGATATAATAATTAAAAAATATAAAAAAATATTCATAGATAATTTCATTCGTTTTTTATGAATAATATTATTGAAAAAAAATGTATTTCAAAGAAATCTTTAATATAAACGATTTAATATATTAATTTAACAAACATCAATATTTAAATTTTCAAAATACCGTATAAATATATTCATAACCATTTTACTTACATGCGTATGGTCTTCTAACTTTATTTCAACTACTCGACACGTCAATTTACTTGCGCACGAAAAGTGAATCGAATTTTGTGCTCGAGGACAGAGATGAAAACTCTTGAAATATTCGCACATGCCTGCTCATAACTTAATGGAGTTGACAAGTCGTCGACGAGAATGATGGACTGCGTTGGATCGAGGGGTTTCTCGCAACCCCAACGCGGGGATAAAAACGGATTCGCCACGGGCAGCTGTGGCGGCGCTACTATGCTCGCCTTCTAGCTCATTTTCCTCCTCTTTACTTTTAGGGGAAATCAACTCTCTCCCATCCGCGTAATCGGTTTTTCTGTTGTGCCACTTAAACAAGACAGCATTTGCGCACATGCGTGTTTTACATGAGATCCGTATCCCGAATTATGCGCGGGACGAACCCTCATCGGAACTTCGAGAAGCGAAAACCACTTTATTATATGTCCGTCAAAATTTTCATTCATATTCATTTTATCTCGTCACGGTTCTTTAATGCTATACAATGTTCAAAATACAGCTACGAACGTAAGTTAAAGGTAAGAAGATATAGGACTTTAATGTTATCTTTAAATTATCTCATTTTGTTGAAATAATTTTAAAAATATTAGAATATATATGATCAATATAGTATAAAAAAATGTATATATGTATATGTATATAAAATATATATATATATATATTTAAAAAATATATATCGTCATCTTTTCTTTTTTTCTCTCATTAAGACCTTAGATATTTTCATAGATTATTATAAATGCTTATATTTATTACAATTTGTAAAGTAAATGTAGACAAAGAGAGCAAATAATAAGACAAGAACGGAGATAGGTTAAAAATTGTGAAATCAGCGCCATCTTCAGAGTGCCGTAAATGAAACATATAAAAAAGGATAGAAAATAATAAGACGAAGATAGAGATAGGATAGAATTGACTACTAACGCCATCTATTGAGTAAAAATATTTCTTCAAAAATATAGTAAAATAAAATAATAACTAAAATATTATAGACTAGATATAAATAAAATAGACTATGATTATAATAAAATATAAAAATATCTTTTTAAAAATACTCAAAAGATGACACTAATCTTTAATTCTTATTTTATTTTATCTTGTTTTTAAAAAGATTTCTTTGAGATTTGAGAGATGGCGCTGACTGTTAATTCTTATTTAGCTTATCATTTTTAGAGAGAGATATTTTTGGTACTCAAGAGATGGCGCTAAATGTCCCTTTTATTCAATCTCTATCTTTTTCTCTCTATTTTCTATCCTTTTTTATGTATTTCATTTACGGCACTCTGGAGATGGCGCTGATTTCACAATTTTTAATCTATCTCCGTTCTTGTCTTATTATTTGCTCTCTTTGTCTATATTTAATATGTCGAGCACAAATAAAATTAATTTTATAAGGATAATGTAAACACTTGTGACAATCTATAAACTGAAAATTTCGAAGTTTTTTTTAATAAGAAGAAAAAAAATAATGGTTTGTACATTTTTATATATCGTGTATATATTTTATATTCAATATTTTTGTATTTCTATCGGCGTTTTAGAAATGTGATGATAATATAAAATTCCATAAAATTTCATAATTATTCTATGACTATATATATTAATTTTAATAGTTATGATTTTTTATTTATCAAACTTAGTAAATTAAAATTTTTTTCTTTTATTAACTGTTTTTCTAATATACTTAAATTATAAAATATTTGATGAAAATTACGTTAAAATATGAAATCTAACCTAAAGTAAATCTAAGGTAATATTGTAAATCTATAATAATAGTATAAATTTAAAAAATGAATTGATTTATTTTTATATATTTACTAAAAAATGTATGTTTTTCATATTAAATTCAAAATTATGAACAATTAATTAGAACAATAAATTTAATAATTAATTCATTTTTACAAATTAATTATTTTTTTTTGAAATTAAAAATAATAAAATATGAAAGAATATTTTAATCATATTGTTACATTAAAATTAATGTTTATGTTAATTTATGCATTTAATATATCTTACCATAAATTCTTTTATTTATTTATTATTATATTCGATACTAATCATGATGCTTACGTTAACACATTTATATTCCATCGATCTGTAAAAAATTGTAGGAAAAAAGTAGATATAAGAGTATATTTCTTATACTACTTTTATTTTTCGATAGACATGCATTTCATAAGAATGAAATTTAATGAAATAGAAATAAACATAGAATCTAACTCTTGTCTTCGAAAATATATGTAATATGAGCAAAAATGATTAAAAGATAATAATAATCGAGTTAATTCATGCAACGATTACCTAATCGATCTCTGACTTTCAATTTATTGCGAAAATATTGTCTGCATTATCTTGTTGTCATTGAATATCATAGCTTAAAAAGGACAATGTTAGAAGATTGTAAAAATTATAATGTAAAATTTATAATTTCAAGGTTCTGAATACACTCTCTTGCTAATGCTTGAGCAACCGGTTTTCTTGGATTCTACTAATAGTCTGACAAAGTAGCATCTCTTTCACAACTTGAAACAAAAGAAAATAAAATTTGAAGTTTATTTAGAATTATAGACGTTGAAACAAATTATGAGGTAAGTCATTTTTATTTAAAAATCTGTAAAATCTTTCAATGAATCGAATTAACAATTTATATTTTTTATATATAGAGATATATCTATACACCTATATAAAAGAAATATATCTATAAATAAATAAAATAAATCTGTAATATATAATATCGATTCTAACTTTAAACTTATTTGAACATTCTTTTTCAAAATACTATAATATTTAATATTGAATATTAACATTAAATCGGGCCGGTCTTATTTCACATTAGTTGCTCAGCAAAAGGGCCGAATTCACTTTCACAAACTGGTGCGAGTGAAGTGAAGGACTTTTTTTCCGAAACGAAATCTTGTTGCACCTGAAAACATTGCCAATTCAATAAACTCGAGTATTGATTTAGTAGAATTTTTTCCACCAATAACAAATGTCTTTGTTCAAAAATTGAAACGTTGATGAATAACTTGTAATGGTGTGATGTGCTGAATCGTGAGTAATATAACCTTCACCCTTGCCTCGTTTCACCGACTAGTCATTTCTCTTTCGATAGCCAACTAATTATTAACACCGTAGTTTTTTTGGTTGTTAATCTTTATATGATAATAAAACTACAAAAAAAGAGAAGAAGGAACTTTTTTCATTATTAGTTTAATTTTTTTTATTCGATTTGTTTTTCTTCAAATGTTATTAGAGAAGTTACCTATTCAAGATTTCACATTATTATATTATTGAAAAGAAAATGATAAGATTGCGAAAGGAAATTGTCAGATAAAATTTTACGTATTTAGCACGTTTTTTCGACATCATATTTTTCCCAATACAATATTGTTTTAATTCTTATGAGTTAGATATGCCGAATTTGATTGTACGACTTATCAAAAAGTTATCAAAATAAAAATATACTTTCAAATTCCTAAAGTTTAAATAGCTCTACATCACAAACTTTTTTATTTAATTTTTTATGCAAAACATTTTTGTTTCTCACTTACTAATAAAAATATTGAATCATACATATCATATCAATATATTAATATTAATAACGAAATATATTTTCAGATTCAAGAAATCAGACAATGGTATACTCAAATATCAAAAGATATAAATGAAGAAAGAAAAAGAAAAATCGAAGAAAATCACGTAACGCGTCGTAGTGTTATTTAACTTCGATTAAACGTGTTCTTTTGCATCGAACCACCGAGTCGATTCGCACGATATCCATAGTCATTTCTTTTCCGGCCAGTCGTGGTATCAGAACTTTCACGCTCGAAATGTTGGCCAGCCATTGCGAAATCAGATGATATTTACACAACCGTGCCGACTTTTCTCACTCGTTCACTTTAATAAACGCGGGCTAATTATCGTAGAAATTTTAACTATTATAACAATTCTTGCAGGAAGAATTGCAGTTGGATTACATATCGGATGGATCATTAGTATTCCTCAAGGTCGTGATCGTCGGAATATATACCATACATGCTACTTCTGTGTAAGATAGATCTCGAAAGAGGGTGTATTTTGCTGGTATGCACATCTTAATTAAATACATTTATCGTTCAATGCGTTTCACAAATAAGAAATCCGAGTATGTGATTTATTTTTGGAAGATAATTTAATTCGTATTACAATGTCGAATAAATAAAAATCTATTTTACGAAATAATTTTGCAAGTGGAAAAATTTTGATGAGAAATATAAAAAAAAATTTTTTAAATAGGTTTATGGGTTAAGTTATTGCCTTGATAAAATATGGTTATTAAAGATTGAGTAATTAATAAATGGAATATTACAATTTTTTGGGATTTTTGACAATTTTCATGATTATAATCTGTTAAAAATTAAGTGAAAGTATATAAATGATGTGTAAATGAAACATTATTAAGAAATATGTATATAATATGATGTACATATTGTATATATTATTTTGTCAAACTACAAAAAATATATTAGAATAATGGATATAAGTCAATTACACAAATCACATGAATTAATTTTTTTTTTAATTTTTTTGAGCGACATGAGCTTTTACAGTTTAAAATTCAGAATCTATTGACATAATTACTGATTTTGTAGAGACTTCTGTTGTCAACTGAATGTGAATCCCTTTCACCAGCAATCTACATGCTTATGTAATTCATTGCGAATTATTGGAGTGGTCAATATCCTTAAACAAAGTTAATCTCTAAAATAAGAATTCAATAAGTAAAGTAATAAGTATAAAATAAATGAAATGAATTAAAAATAATGAAGTATAATCAAATTTCATCAAAATATATATACTATAAATCATTATATATTACAAATAATCAAATCTTACAAAAATATAGAATATGAAAGAATAAAATTATTGTTATATATTAATTAAAAATATAATTTTATTCAATTAACAAATAATAATAATTTTTAAATTGAACATATAAGTATGTTTAATATTAATATTAAAGAAATACTATTATCATAATTACTGTTACATAAAAATTTCTCTAGGTATTAAGTGGTGGTATCCTTTCTCAAGACAATTTTCTAAATAAACGGCAAACTAGCAATGAGAAGGTGACTAATAAAAAGATCGTTGATTCCATTTAGAACGAATGAACGTGAGAACGGAAACAAGGGCCGAAGGTGCCATGGTTTAGACTTCATTGTTATCCAAGAAACTGCGGGAAGAAGAGCTATCGTAAGAAGGAAGCTTACGCGTAATGAGGCAAATCAGATCGGCTGATTACGAAATGTGAGATCGCTTACCATTTCTTGCAACAAACTCGATAAAGTTTCAAAAGTGAAACGATTACCACATTTCTTATTCCCTGTTTTGTCGTGTACATATTTACGATGTTTTTGTGTCACCTCGATTACCGTGGTAATATTTTTTTAAGTATATATTGATATTCTGCAATTCAAAAAATTTTAGAATTTTTCTTCTTATTGTGAGAATAAATTTTTCATAATCAGTTGCACACAATCCGATCTATGTTGTCCTATAAACGAATAAAATCAATTTATATATTTATAAAAATGAAAATAATAAGAAAAAATTTATTTGAATTGAAATATTTTTCTATATTTTAAGGAATTATTTGTTATTAAATAATAAACTTAGAAATTTAATAAATTTCCTAATAGATAGTAATTTAATATTTTATTTAAAAAATTTATAAAAAGTGAAATACATATATGCAAATGGATTATGTAGATTATATATGTTATATATATGTAGATTATGTTGATATTTATTTTCAAGTATATACTTCTTTCGATATCAAGAAACAAATTCATTTTTTTGTTGAAAAATTGAAACCACGAATGCGTAATAGGAAATGATCTTATCATGTTCGAGTTAGTCATGCATCTCTCATTTAATGTCACAAAGATTTCACACGTTTTAATATAAAATAACCATTATAATAAAATTGTTCATTTTTAAATCATATAAATTCAAACTTGAAAATTCTCATGTTGTAAACATAAAAAAATCCATTATTTGATTAATATAAATAGCAAATACGATTAAATATTAAATAATTATTTTATTTAATATTATTTTTGAAAAATAAATGATACTTTATACCTATGATACTTTGTAATTTTATATTTTTGGTCATTTATAATATTTGATTATTATAAGATTTATATTTTTATTTAATTAAAATTTATACGTATAATCTATAATTTTTTCTCATTTTATTTTTTTTAAACGAAGAAAACTATAAATAATGCACTTTATTTCTTACCTACCATCTTCTTCCTATCCTATTTTCTCTTCCTTCCTCATCTCCATCATAAATCGACTTAAAATATGGATTTTTCAACTTTCAAAAAACTTGTTCTTCCCTGTGGTGCAGTGCTCAAAAGACAAAATGGAAGCGCCTATACCTCTTAAGGATTCATATGATTCAGACAAGGATTGATCTTGTCAAAAAGAATGAAAAAAGGATACATCTTATCTATCGTTTACCACCCACCGCGAGGTTAGAACCTTCGTGTCCCTCCCCTTCCTGTCATCTCCCACCCTCACTCTACAAGCAATGTGTATGTGATACACGCGCGCGCATACATTCGTTTATTAGCGCCTTATGAATATACGATACTCTACACATACGCGCGCGCATTTACCGGCGATTGTTCGCCACAGCAAGTAGATACGAAATAGCAGCCGCAGTCGCGAAGGCTCGCTGCTCACGGTGAGATCGTGGTCTGTCGTGATCGAGAGCAGAACACGGTGTCGATTGTGATCGATCGATCGATCGTTGTCAATGGTAGACGCGGTCGATTCCTATCGAGACAAGGAGAAGGTATACGAGAAACACGCCGCACGTGTGAACGCACAGTTTGGATCAGGGCTTGAAAAAGAATTCTGCGTGAGTTCGAGACATCGTTTCTTATCGATTGATTTGAAGATTCGATTATAGATTGATGATTGCATCTACAACGAACCAGTCGAACGTGTGTGAAATAAAATACCGCGAAAACTACCGGTGCGATTCTGCGCGGTGACAGCTTGTGATCTGCGTACAATGAGTCAATATATTAAATTCATTTATTGTATTAAATTCAAAAATATAAAGAAAGTATTAGGAAACTAAATAAGTTTGATTATTTCACTGAGTGATTCTGAGTAAATTAGATTGATAATGTGATGTACAATCGTGGTGAGGTTAAGCGGATGTTTGTTATTTGGTACAGGACGGAATAACTTGAAATGCAGAACGAGTGAACCCAACGAACAATAATGATTTTATGAGAAAATCTACAAGAAATGCTTATATATTTTGTTGTTGGATCTGTGTAGTTGCAATATCGAAAGGATAAAGTGTGAACAAGAAGAAATGGAGAATCCTTGAAACATTTAGGTAAGATTTTTTTTTTTGTTGCATATGTTCCATAATTTTATCGACATGATACAATGATTTTAATATTAAAAAAATATAAAAAGATATAAAAAAAATACTTGACTGTTTAATTATTAAAGTAATTAATCAGATAGATAATTATAATATTGCATTTTTAAATCTCAATAATTTTTATGTAATTAGTTTCTCAAAGAATAATGCGTTTTTTTAAAAAGTGTAGGAAAAAAAGTTCGTTATTATTTAAAATTATTCTGAAATATATTCAGAATTCGATTTATTTTTAAAGTTATTTTTGAATTATTTGAAAATTCATTATTTTGAAAATTCAATATAAATATCTTATTTGAATAGAAAAATGAAAGAAGGGTGAAGACGAATATGCTAATATAAGAACATGTTCTATCGTGAGAACGAATGGCTGAGTACATACGTGCTGTTTACAATTCATGTTTTCAAATTTGCTATTCAAAACGATATTTTTCTTTGTTAGATGTTTTGTAGTTATGAATGATCAAAGTAGATAAACAAAATTTATAATAATATTTCATTTCATATCTCTTACGTAAATGTAAATATGTAGAAGTTTTTAATAATTGAATTACATTTTAAAATCGTTTATATATAATTTTGTTAAAATCTTTTATCTTATGGTTTTATTAAAAATATAGGACATTTTCTGAAAATTTTAATAGATTTGTTTGTCGATTTTATAACATGGAAGATATGATTTTGTACATAATGGAAGATTAAACAAGAGATTAATTATTATTCAAGATTGAATAATGTCATTGGAATTTACTGTTGTTTTTATTAAATGCATATTTTTTATCGTAAACGATAATCATTGATTATCAATAATTTAGCATTTTAATTAAAAAAATATTGTAATGAAAAAAATTATTTTATAAATCAAATATGTAAATATATGCATGTATAAATATATATGTATAATATCAATAATATTGAAACAAGTGTATTTATATTTTATCAGTTTAAGTTAGATTTTTTAACGAAATATTCTTATCGCAATAATCAATATTATATAATATTATTAACATATGTTATTATAATTAAGTATTTTATTTACTTAATTATAATATTTTCTTAATTATAATATTTAAGAATTATTTTTCTATTATACGATTTATAATTTTACTTTAAATAGAAAGTTTCTTTAAAAAAAAGTATAAAAAATCTTAAAAAAAAAATTGCATCTTTGTAATTTACAGATATATATAATATTTTAAACTTTCAGTGATATTCAATATGTGTATATATCCACACTAAATAGCAATATAGACTAACTTATATTCAAATTACACTTGACCGTAATAATATCAAAAAGGTAAATAACTTTCAACAATTCTTTCATATGTTTCGACCTTATGGAACTGATTTGTTAGCCACTTGGCAAAGTAGGCCTCCATTCAGGAAGTAGATTTACCATCGAAATCGAGGTGCACGCATATACACGAGCCACACGTGAGGCTACTGTTCGAACATTGCATATCGACTTACCTAACGCGTTATTTAACCTCTCATTGCATTAAACGTTGGGTTATGTTTCACCGAAATCCTATTCGAATTGTTCACAGTGATCGATGATCGATGCTCGATATTTAATGCTCGAATAGCGGATTTAATAATCGATTGTTACAGAGAATTAATCTGCATTTATATCGAATGTACTTAACCTATGTGCGTTGTCATATTTCAAATAATAACGAAGGAACAATATATGGAACATATGATGTCGATCGTGAATGAATGCTTTAATCACATATTTTGTTATTATAAAGGAATAGTGAATAGAATATGAAAGAATGTTAAAAAATTATATAACAAGTTTTAGAAATTTCATAAATAATAGATTCGAATGCAATGAATGA